TTAGCTATTTTAACCCACTTCAATTACCCATCTCTCAATGGTGCAACAAAATATAGATTAAATTATTAAGTTCTTGTGATTATTGAATCCAAGACAAAGCCACAAACAAAATTTTAACCCACTTCAATTACCCATCTCTCAATGGTGCAACAAAATATAGATTAAATTATTAAGTTCTTGTGATTATTCAGGAATTCACAAATTAAGACCTTTAATTTTATGAAAACCTCCAACGATTCAAACCATCTAGCTTTCGCATCAAGTTGTTATTCAAAAACTTAACAGGTTTTTTCGCAAGTGTACAAAATCGCAAAGTAATAAAAAATAAGTATAGTATCATTCCCACAAGGATTGTATACTAAGTATCGAAATTGTGTTAACCTACTATTATCTAAACGACAATAAGAAGAATAATTGTAAAAATAAGTAATAAATAAGAAATCAAGCAAGTAATTGGTGAAAAGAAATCAAGGTTTAAATGTTACTAGGGATTTTGATTTCACTTAATTCTATCCAGTTTATCCTATTAGTTTGATAATCAATTGTAATTATTCAAGAAGGAGAAATAACTCTAAATTTACTAATAAAATCTCTCGATGTTTTATTAGCTATTTCAACCCACTTCAATTACCCATCTCTCAATGGTGCAACAAAATATAGATTAAATCATTAAGTTCTTGTGATTATTTAGGAATTCACAAAGAAAGATCTTTAATTTTATGAAAACTTCCCAAGAGTCAAACTGTCTAACTCTCGCATCAAGTTGTTATTCCCATGAAATTTATTATCCTATTCATATCAAAAACCCTCCCCTTGATAGTGATTAATGAAATAAATCAATGTAGGGGAGAAACTCTACTTAGAAGCATTAAGATCAATAATAAACTTTACTTGAATAAAGAAAATCAAATCTAATATTATAAACTGAAGTTAAAGTAAAGCTACATGATATCCCTAGTAAAGGTATTTAGTTCAACATAGTAAATAAATCAAACTCAATTAAATTTGTAAATAATCCCATAAAGAATAATAAACAAAAGAAGAGTTTAAAAATAAAATTGGCTTGAGTAGCTTTCTTGAATAATTGGCTTGAGTAGCTTTCTTGAATCTTGACATCAACTTGAATACTTGAAGTCTTAAAGAGAGAGAGAAACTAAATAGAATAGAGAACAATAGAACAAAAGATGGAATATACAATGAATCGTGAATCCCCTGATTGTGGCTACTTTCTCTCTTTATATAGACTTTCTGGAATATCTTCCAATTCGTTTAGGAAAGTGAATCTCTATTAAGGAAGAAATATTTTAGAGATAGGAAACTGTTTAGATTTTATATTTCTTCCCAATTAGGACTCTCTCGACTCTCTCAGTGTCTAAATAGGACTCCAGCTTTAATATGGTACGTCCCACGATATCTTTATGTGGGCAGCATGAGCTTAATATGAAATCTTGGCCCAAGTTGAACTCTGCAGTAGCACGGGAGTGCTGGGTAGCACGCCTTGAGTGTGCTACTTGCTGGAAGTCTTTGACAATTGATCATCTCTTGTATTTTTGGCTGGTTTTCTATAAAAATCCTACAAAATTCCTCAAGATCAAGTGAAATTTGAAATATGATTTAAGGAAACTTAAATAAAATCATAAAAAAACTAAATAAAAACTAATTTAAAGTAATTAAATTACTAAAATCCTAATAAAAACTATATTAAAAAAATACTGTAAAAATAACACCTATCAACATGGTAAAATGATAAAAAATAATCACCATATGACATTTTGTGGGTCTCATGTCCAGAAATATATCTTTCACTATATGCATTTTAATGTTTTATATGGAGTAAAAGAATATATATATTGTTTTAATTTATTATTGAAATTTAATTTCAGTCATGTTTAAATTTTGTTTTCTTAACAAAGGTAACTTAAATCAGTCCATTTGTTTTAATATATTATATAAATGAGTTAATTTAATTATAACTTATATTTTTTAGACTGGCCATGATACTATAAAATAATTAATTATCTTTTTATTAAGTCTAGCTATATCGGTTGTATGATTTTTTTAAAAAATTTAGGTATATGTGGGTCTCGTATACGTATGGCACAACCGGGAGTGAATTGAATTTTTCTTAAAAATAAAATTTACTTTTAAAAATCAAACTTCAGGAATTCTGTTGCTGCACGAAAAAAAGTATGCATTTGTGAGAGTAAGTTTATTAAGATTAGAACTTCCTATAAAAGCTAGCTCTATGCAGAAAATAGAAAGACTTTGTAAAGAACAGTTATAGATTAGAACTGCTTCACAATACCTTATTCAATTTCAAAAACTACTTTATGAAGGAAAGCTATTACTTTTAGAACGTCCTTATAAATTTTAGAAATATATTAAAGACTATGTGAGTGACAGTTATTAAATTTTGAACTGCTTCACAAAGCTCTAAGCCAGATTAGAAAACTGATTAAAACCCAAATAGTGAGATATACAAAAAATAGAAGAACAGTTTAAAACTTGGTATATTCACTATGCCGAAGTCCAGAGTTCTAAAGTTCAGTAATAGATAAAGCTTATTCCAGTTTAGAACATCAAAACTATTAACAACTTTAGCATTTCTAAAATACAAACAGAAACAAACAAGAACCGTGTGAGTAATAGTATCAAGCAAAACTTTACACAATCACACAAATTCAACGTACAGGTTGATATAGTAGTTTTCGACACTAACTACGCCTTACATCCACTTCCCCAAGAAACTCATGCTTGAGTATCGCTCAATTATGTTTATCTGCTTTTTTCAAGGTTAAGAGACAAACGCAAGCAGTACAAGGTAATAATTAACTCCCCTAGATCTACCCTTTTTGGTCCTACTAGATTTTTCCAAAGTTTCTAATTAACTTCAACCCTTCTATTTTGGCAGAACAGAAAACTCAATCAAGACATTAGAAATCTTCTTCATCACGGAGAAGGTTGCTTGAATAACCTATTTCACAATAGCTTTAACCTATTTCACAATAGCTTTTCACTTAAGCTATTACACAAATATTTTATCAAATAAAAAGTTGTCTACTAAAGATTACATAATCTAAATAGACAGACAAAAATACAAATATAAGCGTGGAAAAAAATAGTATTTAAGATTAGAAAATCATTTTAGAGTTCAGAACTGTTTTTCAAAAGAAGTTGTTATAAAATTTCTTTTCTTTTTTAAAGATAAAACGTAGAACAATAAGATAAAAATAAATAAGGGGGTTTGAGAGTAAGTTTTGAGAGATAAAATATTTGATCAATGGACGTATACTCTTAAAATAAAAACCCTTTCATCATTTAAAGAGAAAGACGCCTTTTATAGAGAGAGATGAGAAACCGGTTCTAGAAAGCAAGATATCTTCTTTTCAATTCAGAATATTGACTTTCCAAATTTAGAAGATATGGAGATTTTTGTTTCCAAAAATTCATTGAATCAATATCTTTTTCTTTTAAAGCAAGCATATAAGAAAAGATTTTAAACTTTTCTTTAAAATAATTTTCGAAATTAGGAAAAATTAAAAAAATCTTTTTCAAAATATTTTATTACCAAAAACGATTGAGATAAAATCTCTTTCATTTAGGTAAGTAGATAAAAGCAAGATTTGGATTTTAAAAGCAAGATTTGGATTTTCTTTAAAAATTAATTTCCGAAAATAAAAGCTTAAAAATCTTTTTCGAATTATTCTATTACCAAAAACGATTGAGATAAAATCTCTTTCATTTAGGTAAGTGAATGAAAGAACGAAAAACTTTTAATTTCTAAGGCAATATTTTTTGAAAATACTTTTGATAAAAAGAGAGAAGAATTAATTTTGTGCTTATAAATGAACATTCTCTCTATCCTACAATAAATCCAAAAAAAAAAAAAAAAAAAAAAAAAAAGTTAACCACTATGATCTTCAATGTTTTTCATGATCTTTGTTTACCTTGGATTTGTAGGATTTTGCCCTTGTTTATTTATTTTCCCATATTTAGATTTTGCAATAAAATAATATAGCGACAAATAATATATATTTAAATTTTTTGTTTTGTTTTTAAATCATCAAAAATCTCACGAATAACAAAATTGACCTTGGAAAAAAAAAAAAAAAAAGTTAACCACTATGATCTTCAATGTTTTTCATGATCTTTGTTTATCCTTGGATTTGTAGGATTTTGCCTTGTTTATTTATTTTCCATATTTAGATTTGCATAAAATAATATTAGCACAAATAATATAATTTAAATTTATTTGTTTTGTTTTAAATCATCAAAATCTCAAGATAACAAATTGACCCTTGAGCCAACAGTATATCAATTATATAATTTTTTAACTAAATTCAATTAACTTTATTAATTTTAAAATCGAATCTCATTCATACATATTTTAATAATGATTTTTTTTTTAGAAAATAATGATTGTTTTAAGCAATAAAATAATTATATAAACATATGATTTCTTAAATAGTTATGTTTTATCATGCGATTCAAATTTTTCTCTTGTTGATATATCGTACCTATAAATTTTTTAGGCCAAGGCCATAATGTTTAAGAGACACAAAACATTGTTTTTTAGATAATTTTACATTAATTTTCGTTATTTATATTGCTTTATAAATTACAATTAGAATTTTTTCTATCAATTAAAAAAAATTGATACTTTATATATCAAATTGACCTTAATTAATTTAAAAAATTTTCCAATCAAATTTTATTTCACTTAACTTCAACCTATCCTTAGCTAAACAAGTACATTTTTTTTTTATATTTTATTTAAAACAAGTAAAAATTAGAAGAAGCATAAGCTCAACTCAAAAGAAATGAATAATACTAAAAGAATCTTCTTATTCAACTGTATTAAAAAATGAGATTTTTTTTTTTTGAGGAAAAAGAAAATATTATTATTAATCATAATTTGCTTCAAAGGCAATAATGGAAATAAGAGCAGTTGGAATAGTAGTCTAAACTATTAGACCAGCATTAAAACAAGCCACTTTTGCTCAGGCATGTGCAGCATTGTTTGCTTGCGTATTAACCCAAGCCAATGACAAAACATTAGCATCAACAAATAGCTCCCTATAATTTGTAATAAGAAGCCCAAACTCAGTCCTATCGTCCCTTCCTGCTGCCATAGCAGTAGTCACCTCCTGTGCATCCATCTCCAGTTGAAAACCATCAAAATGTTAAGATTTAAGCCAAGATAAGACCTCCCTCAAGCCCATAAGTTCAGCAAGCCTAGGAGAACTCGCTCCAATCAGTCGATCTGAAACACCAGCAATGAACTAACCCTTGTGGTTCCTAAAAACTGTACCAAAACCTGCATTTCTTGTTGTGGCATTAAAAGATGCGTCCAGATTACCCTTTAACAAACCAGCAGCAAGCGGAGACCATGTACACACCATTCTGCCATTCCTACAAGTTCCCTCGCTGTTATCCTTCGGCCTCACATCCCTCCAATCTGCTATAAAATGCATGGCTCGAGTTAACACATCCTTCGATTCACTTGCACCTCCTGCAATAGTCTAGAGTTGCGACTATACCAAATAAACCACAACAGCACTACCACCTCTTCAACTCTACTCTCCTCACAGGTCTTTCTTAACTCCTCAAACCACCCCATAAAATTAGTAGCAAAAAAACCATTTACAAGTACCTGTATCTGCAGTAAACACAAGGATGCAGCTACATACTCCACAAGTGAATGTAAATCGATTCAGTAGCACCACAAATATCAAATACATCAAAGATATACATACCCCTTTTATTCAACTGTGTTTTGGTCGGCAGAAGGTCCTTACACGCTCTCCACAAAAATTGCTTCACTTTCGGATGGATGTTCATTGCCCATATAAACTTCCACATATTTGGATTTCCCACATAGTGACTTGCTGCCACCTCCTGAACCGCCAGTTTGTAGGCACTTTTCAATTTATAAATTCCCCTTTTCGACCAATGCCAAACTAACACATCCTCCGGTCTTCTATTACTTAGTGGGATATGAAGAATCACCTCAGCCTTCTCTGGAAGGAAGAGACCATGAATAAGGTCAGCAAAGGTTGAACCTTATTAGTTATACAGTAAAATGCTGTAAGTACAGAGTGCCCCATTGCTATGAATATTATAGTGGGATTGAAATACGAGAGTGCCCGCCCTTTCAAGTAGGCCACTTTCCGATTCGACAAGGGTAGAATGCCTGGTCAAAGGTCCAACCACCTGCTACTATTTGGCAACAGTAAATCTTGCACCCGTAAATTCTCAAAACCTGCAACACAAGGAGAAGAGACATGAAAAGAATTTTGAGAGACAACCTATGGATCCTTCCAAATATTAATCTGATCACCACAACCAATCCGCCACCTAACACCTTTTCTAAGCAAATCCTTAGCTCGCAATATGCTCCTCCATAAAAAACTAGGATTAGTTCCTAAAACCGCTCCCATAAAATGCCCATCAGGAAAGTATTTAGCTTTGTAAATTCGTGCTAGAAGAGAACCACCATTGGCCATAATACGCCAACCTTGCTTACCAAGAAGAGCCAAATTAAAGCTATAAAGATGGCGAGAACCCATACCTCCATGAATTTTTGGAACACACAACCTCTCCCAACTCAACCAATGCATACCCTTCCTATTTGTAGATTTCAAACTCCACCAAAAAGCATTCATTAATTTTTGTAACTCATCACACATGGTGGTTGGTAAAAGAAAAACCCCCATAGCGAAAACTGGAATAGCTAGGGCAAGACTCTTTATTGATACCTCTTTCCCAGCCTTGGACAAAAATTTGTGCTTCCACCCTTGAGTTAACTTCCATAACCTCTCTTGAATAAATGCAAGCACTTCCGTCTTCTTCCTTCCAATAAAAGATGGTAACCCTAGATATCTACTATGATTCAAATAATCAAAAACACCTAGGGAAGAACAAATATTATTCCTCATCTCCATGTCGACATTAGTGATAAAGAAGATTCCTGATTTCTGAAAATTAATAGCCTTTCCCGAAGCCTTCTCATAAACATTCAAGATTCTTTTGACCTCACTACTCTCTCAACGAAGCTTGCATAAAAAGAAAGCTATCATCAGCAAAAAAATAAATGGGACACACTAGGAGCAGCTCTCGTTACCCTACACCCATGTAAATCTCAGCCTTCTTTAACAACACCGATAAGCCTTCTGAACATAATAAAAATAAATACGGGAAAAGAGGATCCCCTTGCCTAACCCCCCTAGCTGGAATAATAGGCCCAACCTCTATACCATTAAACGCAATTGAAAAACGCACTGAACATATACACAACATTATTAAAATCTACCCATTTAGCATGGAACCCCATTCTACCCATAATAGCTTTCAGATATCTCCATTGTACCCTATCATACGCTTTAGATATATCAATTTTAAGAGCTACCAACCATCCTTCCTTTTATCCTTTCGCTTAATGGTATGAATTGTTTCAAATGAAATCATAATATTATCCGTAATAAGTCTCCCTGGAACAAAAGCAGATTGAGAGACAGACACTACCTTATCAAGAACTAGTTTAAGCCAGTTAGCTAATACCTTTGAAATAATTTTGTAGACAACATTACACAAAGATATTGGCCTAAAGTCCTTAATTGATTCTGGATTAGCAATTTTTAGGATTAAAACTACTTTAGTGTCATTAAGATTAGGAGGAAAAGTACCTAAATCAAGTTAATCTCTACATGAACGGATAATATCAGTACCCACAACGGACCATGCCTTTTGAAAGAAACAGGGATTCATCCCATCAGGTCCCGGTGCTTTGTCGGGACTCATTTGAAATAAAGCCATACGAAACTCCTCATCCAAAAATGGCTGGATAAGTCGCTCATTGTCTTCATCCGAGATAGAGGGAAGAACATGTTGGGTAACCAGGTCTGAATAATCACTAGAGCCAAAAATAAATCACAAAATAAGATCGAATCACATCCGTCATACCCTCCTCTGTCTCCTGCCAAATCCCAGCCTCGTTCCTGACTTGCGTCATACGATTAGCACGAGAACATGTTGTAGCTGTAACGTGAAAGAACTTTGTATTTCTGTCCCCCTCAAGGACCCTATGAGCCTTTGCCCGCTGTCTCCAAAACGCTTCTTCTTGTGCTAAGAGCAACTGAATTTATCCCGGACCTGGTAGAGACTTGCAATAGCAGATTCAGTACCCATATTACGTAGCCGCTCCATTTCCAACGTCAATTGCCAAATATCCTTTCTAAAATGCTGCAATAGGTTCCTGCCCCACCATGATAGATTGTTGCCAAGATTATGAATTTTAGACAATAAATCCCCCTTAATCGATTGAAACCATGCTTCATACATAAAATCCATAAAATCTGGTTCCTTGGTCCAAGCGTTCTCAAAACGAAATCTTCTTAGAGGTCTCAGTGCCTTGGTATCATTGCTTGTAAGTAACAGAGGCGAATGGTCTGAGTAGAAAGCCAATAGATTAACTAAAGAATTATTTGGAAAAAATATCTAGCCATTCCTGCCTAACCAATGCCCTATCCATTCGTTCTTCCACTCTTGCAGCACCATTACCCCTAGCCCATGTAAAAGGATACCCAATCATGGGTAAATCATGCAGGTCACAGTCATCAACCGCCTCTTTAAAACCTCTAAGAAGAGAAGCAAGATGATCCACCAGCCCTCGTTTATCCTCCGAACACAATAAATCATTAAAGTCGCCAATGCATACCCAAGGGAGAGAAGACATCATAGCTAATCATCGGAGTAATTCCTTAGAGTCTGCACTTCGGCTTCGTTTCGGGAACCCATAGAAATCGGTCAATTGCCACACTTCTTCGCCGTCACACACAGACACATGCATATCAATGTAGTTATCCGAGAAACTCTTAACACTAATACTATTCTTATGTCTCCAAAGCACTGCAAGGCCTCCACTATGACCCCGACAGTCCACTCCAAAAGCCCCATCAAAGCCCAACCTCACCCTCAACTCTTATATCTTTTGCTTAATAACCAAAGTTTCCATAAGAAATAGAACCTCGCTTATGGCTATGAACCAACTCCTTAAGATCTAACACTGCCTGAGGGTTGCTAAGCCCTTGACAGTTCCAGCTTATACTTTTCCCCTCTTCAGCCGACCTACAAGGAGAAATCAAAATAGTTAAAAGAGAAATAGAAGAATTAAAAAAAAAAACATAATAGAATTAAACAAGACATTATTCAGTTAAAAGTTAATAAAATTATAAATGTTCAAGTAGAACCCTCAGAAAATAAGAAATTTAACAATTTAACTGATACATTATCTTATGATAAGTCTATTAATGTAATATTTAGAGTAAGCTTTTAGAAATGGATAGTTTTAGTTAAAATAGTGGTTAATAATGATTTTCATTTAACTACGACTGTATTAGTTGTTCTAGTTAGGATCAAAATTGTTTGCAAGAAGGATTAATTCCAACTATATTATGAAAGAACTAAAGAAAGGCTATACACAGTAAGTTAGAATAGAATATAAATTAACAAAAGTAAAAATATGTGCTGACAGTTTTTGTTTTAAAATGCCTTTTATTTTAGTTAAAAACCTTACTACATGAGTAATACTAGGAACACTCTTTTTAGCTACTATTTATCCCTTTAAAACAGATAATGAAGGATTAAAAATAAATATCTTAAATAATCAAATATGTTTTAAATTTATGCAACCAATTAGATAAAAGGATTTAAGTGCTATATAAGATATTTCTATATATAAAGAAATAAATCTTATTAACAAAAACAAAAACATATTAGCTATTTGAAATAAGAGATTAATAATATTAGGATTGAAAATCAATTAGAACAAACTCACATACAAAAAAAAATTAAAGACTTTGAAGGAATTTTAAATAAAGAAGTATGTTCAAATATTCCGAATGCCTTTTGGTCTAAAAAACAACATATAGTTCATTTACCTTATATAAGAAAATTTGATGAGAAAAATATCCCAACCAGATGTAGAGCTATACAGATGAATAAACAATTACAAGAATATTGCTACAAAGAGATAAATGATTTATTAGATAAAGGACTAATTAGAAAATCTAAGTCCCCTTGGAGTTGTTCAGTTTTTTATGTCTAGAATGTGGCAGAAATAGAAAGAGGAGCACCCAGGTTAGTTATTAATTATAAACATTTAAATAAAGTATTATAATGGATTAGGTATTCTATACTAAATAAAAGAGATTTGTTAAAAAGATTACATAATGCAATTATATTCTCTAAATTTGATATGAAATCAGGTTTTTCGCAAATACAAATACATGAATCTGACAGATAGAAAAATCTAAGTCCCCTTGGAGTTGGTTCAGTTTTTTAATGTCTAGAAGTGGCAAGAAATAGAAAGAGGAGCAGCCCAGGTTAGTTTTATTAAATTATAAACATTTAAATAAAGTATTATAAATGGATTAGGTATTCTATACCTAAATAAAAAGAGAAATTTGTTAAAAAAGAAATTTAAAAGAGATTTGTTAAAAAGATTACATAATGCAATTATATTCTCTAAATTTGATATGAAATCAGGTTTTTCGCAAATACAAATACATGAATCTGACAGATACAAGACTGGCTTTAATGTTCCCTTTGGTCACTATGAGTGGAATGTTAAGCCATTTGGTTTGAAAAATGCCCCTTCTGAATTCCAAAATATTATAAATGACATTTTTAACAATTATCATGAGTTTTCAATAGTTTACATAGATTATGCACTTATTTATTCAAATAATATTGATCTCCACTTTTCTCATTTGAAAAGGTTTATAATAAAGTTAAGCAAAACGGTTTAGTTGTTTCTTCTTCAAAAGTTAAACTATTTCAAACTAAAATAAGGTTTTTAGAACATGACATTTTTCAAGGTACTATTAAACTAATTGACAGATCAATTAATTTTACTGAAAAAGTTTCAGGATAAAATTACTGATAAAAATAAATTACAAAAATTTTTGGGATGTTTGAACTATGTTGCTGATTTCATGAAAAGATATTCGAATCTTATGTTAACCACTGCTCAATAGGTTAAGAAAAAACTCTTCTCTTTGGTCTGAAAGACATACCTAGTTAATTAAAACCATAAAATCTAAAGTTAAGAGCCTTCCTTGTCTTTGTATACCAAATCCTGATTCATTTCTTATAGTAGAAACTGATGCCTCAGATATAGGCTATGGAGGTATTCTCAAACAGAAATTACCAGATCAGTCTTTTGAATCCTTAGCTAGGTACCATTCCGGAGCATGGAATGATACACAAAAAAAAAATATTCAACTATTAAAAAAGAATTAATTTCAATAGTTTTATGTATTACAAAGTTTGAAGAAGTTTTAATGATTCCGGAGCATGGAATGATACACAAAAAAAAAATATTCAACTATTAAAAAAGAATTAATTTCAATAGTTTTATGTATTACAAAGTTTGAAGATGATTTAATTAACAAAAAATTCCTTTTAAGAATTGACTGCTCAGTAGCCAAAAATACTTTGGAAAAGGATGTTAAAAACATTGTTACAAAGCAAATTTTCGCTAGATGGCAAGCCATTTTATCATGTTTCGATTTTGAGGTTGAAGCCATTAAAGGTAATTCTAACTCTTTACCTGATTTTCTTACCCGTGAATTTTTGCAGGGAAAAGATAGAAACAAATAAGTTTTTCTCTTTATCTAAAGAATTTGTTAAGCAAAACTTAATGGGCACTCCCTTGAAGAATAAAATTACAAGAGAAAGCTATGGAAAAAAGAGTGTAAGTATTTCTTTTCAATTATCTGGCCCTTCAACAACTCAGTTACCAATACCAGCTTTTACTTCAACTACTTCAGGTACAAATAGACCAACCAATTACCATGACGCTCTTACTAGTGCATCATCATCATCCACAATTAATTACCCTTATGTTAATAAGGATATAGAAATACGTATTACCTATATCAAAAAGGAATATACTAAATATTCAAATTTTTTGAAAGTCGCTCAAAAGGCATTCCCTTCTAATTTCCATTTTGTTCCCGAGTCATTTTCAAAAAATAGAAATTTTTATGAGTTTATATTAGTTGTACAAATTTTATAATTTTGGAATATATTCATGATCCAGAAGATGTTAAAAAGGTTTTGTATTTAAAAGTTCAAATAAAAAAGGTTTTCTCTCTCTCTGAGTGAAACCAGAATCCATACACTGAGATAAAATTTAGTCAAAACTTTGTACCAAGTTCTTTCAACTATGAGGATTATAAAAAGCTTGGTCTAATGCTTTTGATTTAAGAAATCATAATCATTTGTGGTTCATGATGATTCCACGAGGTTCAATTACAAAATTTCCTTATTAGTTTCAAGAATGATCGAGTATTTCGAATGTTCAATCAAAACTTTCCCTAAAACGATACTACAAGGTTTTGAGCTCTATGATAAACAATTAACCAATTTCGGTCAAGATAAGCTACTCTCATTCGCAGCTACTTTTAGGATTCCATGGATCTTATCCTGGAATTATGGAATCAAACAAGTTCAACTGCTACCCCTTCTCCTATACTGGTCAGAATTTTTAGTAACAAACGGTATAAAGATTACAACCAGACCCAGGCCTATGCTTAAGCCGTTCAAAAATATTTCAGTTCAAAGAGACACCTATGTTTGGCAAAAAATCCAAAGAATCTAGATTTCTTAACAGATAAGAGCAGGTGGCAGGCTGCCCTTGTCGCTACTAGTTCAATTAAAGAATTTAAGAAGACACTACAAGATATAAATAGTCAAGTATCGCAAGAGGACGAAGATGAAAATAAAGCCACTTCTAGCCAAGAGACGAAGATGAAAATAAAGCCCACTTCTAGCTACTCATGCACTCCATGAAAATGATTGGTTTATGAATAAATATAAAATCAAATATAGAAGGAAAGTCCTATCCAGTTCAAGATAAATATCAAATATGTTCAAGTAAAGTTGCTTGTCCTCAAGATATAAATAGTCAAGTATCGCAAGAGGACGAAGATGAAAATAAAGCCACTTCTAGCTACTCATCACTCCATGAAAATGATTGTTATGATATAAATCAAATAGAAGGAAGTCTATCCAGTTCAAATAAATATCAAATATGTTCAAGTAAAGTTGCTTGTCCTATCAGGCTCTTTTTGTCATTTTATAAATATGTAAAGTTGTTTGTCTGCATTAGGCTTATCCAACTTTTGTCCATATTACGCTTATGCCACTTTTGTCTGTACTAAGACCTACCCTGTTTGTTTGTATTAGGCCTATTCATCTTTTGTAGATAAGGTTTTTCCTATTAGATGATAGCTGTCTAGACTTTAAATCAAATAAAGTTCATACTCTTCTATAAATAGCTAAGTATGTTATGCGAAAGGCAGAGGTTTTAGAAGAAGCGTGCTTGTGCTATCTCTACCCCTACTCTTTCAAAAGCTTTGTACTCTCTTTTTCTTATAAGTAATAAAGCTTTCTTTTATAAAATTATCGTTTTACATCTTATTTTGATTTAAATTGCTTTGATTAAATTATTATTTTGCTTTAGTAAATTAATATGATTATTTATACTTATGTGTATCATATTACTTTGTCTGTACTCTACTCTCCTTTCCATTTCAGTTTAACAATTACTATTACTCCACAATTAAAACTATACATTCATCTCTTCCTCCGTTCCTCCACACTTCCAATCAGCTCCCTTCTGGTATCAGAGCCTAATCTTTATAGGTTGTAGGGTTAAGGTTATTAATTATTTGCGGATTAATTATTAGGGTGTAGGGGTAAGCCGTTAGTAGTCGTGATTACGAAGCTATTGGATTATTATTGGTCAGCCGGTGTAAGCGTTGGTCAGCCATGTGATATGTGGTCCCGCAAATGTGGTCCTGGTAATCAATAGTCTCTAGTTACGATTATTAATTAGCAAAACGAGTAGATTGCTAAATCTTCTTTCTAATAATAAGTTTTTAAATATTAATGACCCTAGTTCTATCCTTAGTGATCTGAATACCCAAGAGATGTATATCGCTCATGTGGAGAATCAGCTATATAAATGGTCTATCTAAAACTATGATGTTAATACTATTTACAAAATTGATGCATTTGATTTTCTTTCTGGTTATTCAATTAAACAAACCGAACAATCTGTTCCGTTAGCTATATGTATGAAAATATTCAATTATTTTCTCCCTAAGCTATTTTGAAGCACAAAGAAAAACACAAATTTTTGCATATATGTATGGTTCAAGTTGCAATTAAACCTTTATTTCGAGTTGATTTAGATATTTCAGTTTTTGTATGTTTATGAGATGCAAGACATTTGAATTTTTCAAATTCTCTAAACTATCTATTCCAAGAAACTATGAACTTCTTCAATTTTAGGACATCTGCATTAAAACAAACCAACACAAAAATCGAATTCTAATTAGGAAATAAAGCATCTGACAAACAAATTCCCTTATAAATTGAAACTCATTGCTTTAAAATGCTTTCTTTCTTCCTTTTTTTTTTTCTACTTTCAGAAGGAAAATACAAGGACATACATGTTCAATAGCTGCTTGAAATCCATAAAAAAACATCTACCTTTAAGAGGGAAACAAGAAAATTAATACTAGAAACAAATTCAATTTTGATCAATATATTAAGTGTTTAGTCAAAACTACCCTTATTTTAATAACAATTTTTAGTTTTATTAATTCGATCTGTGAGTAGAGTCACGCAGCCGATTTGGCGGCCAGTTTTTCCCTTTTACCAAATAGGAATATAAATGCTGTGTTTTATACGGCAACATTTTGGGCTATTTTAAATTACATGACAGACCTGATAGTAAGGATGTGACTAACTAACTAATGGCAAGAGTTGATGCTTTGTTTTTTCCACTTTCTAAGAGAAAAATATAGTACGACCTTTGTAGTTTGTTAAATACAACTAATTTATTCTTATTATTTTTAAAATATACTAATTTTTTCTATGTTTACTTTCGTTACACTACTAAGTCATTCTGTTCAATTTTTACATCTTTTCTGTTAAGTTAATAAAAAAATACAGAGGTCAAATGAGAGATACTAAAATATTATATTAGAAAAGTTACAGTACGGTCTTTATAGTTTGAAAAATACAGCTAGTTCACCCCTGTGTTTTTTAAAATAAAAGAGCTATTTTCATTATTTCATAAGGTAAAATGTAAAAATTAGAGGAAAGTAAATTATAAAGATGTTTTACTCTATTTTAAAAAAGACAGGGAGGGACTAATGTAATTCACAAAATATAGGTATCATACTGTATTTTTTTCTCTTTTTAAAATACCAATTAAGTATGTTTAGATATTCATCTATTATATTTTTAGGTACCATATTAAATATAGTTTTTTTTATAAAATAAGAGTATCTTTTACCGTTAAAAAGCAAAATTAAAAAAATGATAACTTTCTTTAAATTATTTTTTAATTGGTTTAGTATGTTTTTAGTTTGTTTCGGTAGAATCTCTACCTCCTATGTAAGAAATAGCAAGTAGAATATATCAATTATTAATAAAAATATTAATAATTTGGTACAATTGGTGTATTGTTATTGTATTGGGATACGGTTGTGCGTGTTTGGATAAGAGCGCAGAGAAGTGAAGTTGCATGTGACACACATAGCATATAGAAGTTGCAACTCCTGCAGCTGCAGCCACGTCAACTCCATTCTATGAAACGTGTCTTAATTTCGTATTCACCATTCTCCATTTCTTCTTCTCAAAAGCTATATAAATAGTATGGCGGCAACAACAAAGTAATAATTGGTTGCAGAATTAAAGGTCTAATAGGACAAGAAAACATTAGCAGCAGAAAACGTTACAATGTCCGGAGCACAAGGAGCGCAGCCGAAAGGGTCGAAGACGGCGACGACATATGAATCGGTGGAGGGAGGAGAGAATAGGACGAAGACGGAGCTACGTATTGGTTAGGTGGCTTGCAAATCCCACATCGAAAGAAAGGGAAGGGAATAGGGAGTTGTTTGGCTATAAAAGGAGCTTAGCTCCTGAAGTTTTATTCATTCCAAAACTTGTCTTCCGTTTGGCTATAAAAGGAGCTTAGCTCCTGAAGTTTATTCATTTCCAAAAACTTGTCTTCCAATTCTTAAGTGGGTTAGCAAGTTTGCCCTCTCCTCTCTCAATTGTGTTATATTTCTTAGTGAAATATAAAATGTAGTATGTCCGGAGGACGTAGGGCAAATTGGCCGAACCTCATTAAATTTTGGTATTGCTCTTTATTGTATTGCTTTTGTCTTTATTTATTTAATAGCTATGTTTGGGTAAAAATATTTTTTGTGGTATTGTCTTAATATTACTTCTAAGGTAAAGTTCCTGTCTAGGCCAAAGTTGGGTTTTAAGTGAGAAACCATTTGTGACTCCTTCCACTTACCTGGGAATTACTTAGTGTAGTTAAGTAAAGTACAGGTAATTCACAATTGCTTTTGGTGAAAAGCCCAATTTCCCAACAACATTGGTATCAGAGCCAAGGTTACTAAGTATTTCACTGTGGTTTGAAGCAATAGGTCTGATCTGCCACATTAAAAAAGGTTCATTGGTTGTGTTCCGCATTTTTGAAAAATTGATTTTTTATAGCTATAGAATATTTATAAGCAGAAATGAACAGAGCGGTAAAGAAAAAAATACCACACCTGTTTACAGCACAACCTTCGTAAGAAATGCTTGTATCAAAATGCAAAAGATTTACAGTGGAGATTTTCCGATGGGACCCGGTCATTTAGCATTGTGGCAAAGTGAAGTTCTAGAACGCTCCCTTCTTTTTTCAAGCTCAAGGTTTTCAGCAAGGTCTAGATGTTGCTATTGAAAAAGAGAAACCAAACGAGATGGAGGAAAGTGAATGGAAGACCATCAATCGTCTGGCATGTGGGACAATTCGGTCATGTCTTTCTAGAGAGCAAAAATATGCTTTCTCGAAAGAAACTTCTGCGAACAAATTGTGGAAGGCATTGGAGGAGAAATTTTTGAAGAAAAACAATCAGAACAATCATGAAGAAGAAATTGTATCGCTTCAATTATGTTCCTGGTACCACTATGAATGAACACATCACAAAATTTAATCAGTTGGTGGGTGATTTGTTGTGGGTGATTTTGTTCAATTTGGATGTGATATTTGGAGACGAAGATTTGGCAGTGTTTGTTTGCTAAGCCATCTCTTCCTGATGAATTCGAGCATCTTACAAAACGACTCCTAATTTATGGATAAAGTGTGACTTTCAGTGAAGTTGTGCTGATTCTTTAAAGCCATGAACTGAGAAAAGATAAGAAAGAAATGGGAAAAGGCAACTGAAGCAGAAGCTCTGGTGGTTGGAGGTCCGTTTCAGAAGCCAAAAGAAAGGGAATAATAGAAAAGTAGAATCCCCGTTCAAAAAACCAGAGTTTTGAAAAAGATGAGTGTGCCTTTTTGTCGTGAAAGGTCATTGGAAAAGAAAGATTGTCCAAAGCTAAAAAGCCAAAGGCAAAAGCCTGTTTATTAATTCAAACATAGGCTGAGTGTGATGATGAAGAACTCAGACTTCTCACTTAGTTATCAAATGCAAATCTATAGACAATTCATCAAGCAAATTTTTGACCAAGTTCTGGTGAGGTATGGCTGTTAGAATCTCTCATGCAGTCATCATAATGAGTCCCCCAAAAACCGGGACTGGTTTTTGACTTTAAAAGAAATTGAAAATGAAGTTGTCTATACTGGCAAAATAATGTTCCTTGCTTCACAGAAAGGATTGGTTCAATTCCATTTGAAGAATCAATCGATGGGTCAATCAAGGATCCTGACTGATGTTCGATATGTACCGATTTGAACAAAGAATCTATTTCAGTGGGAGCCCTGAAATCAAAGGACTCACTGTAAATTGCGAAAGAATGGAGTGAGAAAAGTCAATCTCTGGTGCAACTCGTGGGTGATGAAAGGAAATCCCAGAAGAAGGAATAATTTGTAATTTACTTATCAGGGTAATACAATTAAAATTGGATCGCAGCAACGTTGTTTCTAAGTGATTGACAATAGATGTGGAAACAACCAAGATTTGGTGGCATAAGGTGTTTGGGACATGCCAGGTGAAAGATCCTTGAAAAGATTGTCAGATAGGGATTATTTGAAAAATAATGTCAAAAAACCTGCAGTGTTGGAACCCCTTTCTTGGTGAGCATTTGCAACGCAAAGGAAAGCAGACCAAGAAGTTGAATTTGGCACCGGAATCCATAATTACCAAAAAAAGGGTATTTTTGAAACTAAATGTTCACTCTGTATGTATGGGGGACCCTCTAACAAAACAAGCTTCTTTGAGTGGTAAATCACTATTGAATGTTGAGCCGTTTGTTGATGATTTTCTCTCGAGAGGGTTGGTGTATAAACCTTTGAAGTCAAAAGATGAAAAGTGCTAAAGTTTTCCTTAAATGGAAAAAGATTAGTGGATAACCAGACTGGGCAGAACCGCATCAAATTGTCCTCCGAACGGACAATGGAGGAGAAAATACAAAAAATGATGCTTTTGATAAAATCTTGCACAGGATGAAGGCATTGTTTCGATCACTTCACAAGTTAGAAAATACACCACAAGGAGAAATGGGGTGCAGAACGCATGAACCGAACGTGCTGGAGAAAGTTCGTGTATGTTGTCTAATGCTGGGTTAGACAAGAAATTTTGGGCTTGAGCTTTGTCTATATGCATGCATCTCATTAAATCGATTACCATCACTTGCTATTGGTGGCAAAACCCTATAGAGGTAGTGGTTTTTTTGAGAGAAGCCCGCTAAATGATTATGAAATTCCGCTTACGTGTAATTTGGGGTTCTACTGCATACTATTCATGTTTAAGGAATCGACAGCTGGATCCAAGAGCTTAAGAAAGTCATTTTCATGGGGATAAGCACGGGTATTAAAGGCTATCGGCTGTGGTGTACAGAATCAAAGAAAATAATCTTTAGCAGAGATGTCACTTTTGATGAATCTACCATGTTAACAAAAGTGACAGTGAGGCAGTCAGATGGTACTCCACAAAAGGTGGAGGATAGTCCACAACAGGTGGAGTTTTATAGAAAAATCCCAGTGGTAGGTACTGAACCCGTAGAAACTCCTGAGGTAGAAGGAGGTTCAGATGAAGGAGATTTAACTCTAAGAACCTCCACAGCAACTTAAGTCAATTGCACTTGATAGGCCAAGAAGATAAGGAGAGTTATAAGAAAGCCTGCTTCGTTTTGAATGATAATTGGTGGCCTATGTCATCCCAATTGCCAGATGATAGCAATACCACCACTTTTTCATTGAAGCTGTCAAAAGTTCAGAAGAAGTAAAGTGGAGAAAAGCTATGGAGAGATGAAATGAAGTCCTTTTATAAGAATCAGACGTGGGAACTTATTGTCCACCAAAGGGAAAGAAGGCAATTGGATGCAAAATGGGTAATATGCAAAGAAAAGATGGATTTTCCTACAGAGACAGTGTTCACTATTAAGGCAAGGTTGGTTAGCTAAAGCTACGCTTCAGACGGAGGGAATTTGATTATAATGAAGTATTTTCTCCAGTTGTTAAAACCAATTCCTCTTCATTCGGATTTTGTTAGCCCTTGGTAGCACAGTTTTGATTTGGAACTAGTTCAATGGAATTGTAAAAACTGGCATTTTTACAAATGGAGATCTAGGAAGAGGAAATCTATATGACTCCAGCAGAAGGTATTCAAGGTTGTTTTTGGAAGGAAAATAGGTATGCAAACTTGAAAAAAATCGCTTTTATGGGATTGAAAGCAATCTCCGAGGCAAGGTGGTAACAAGCCGATTTTTTGAATTAAGTTTATGCAAAGGCAGAAGTACCACAAGAAAGCCAAATAAACGAATTCAATTGTGTGTATTTGGCGCAAGCTACAAGATGGCTCTTTTCATTTATCTACTTTTGTAATGTGATGATATGCTAATGGCTTTTAAAGGAAATAAACAAGAAATTAGTAAATTTGAAGATCAGTTGAATCAAGAATTTGAAAATGAAAGATCTGGGCGAAGCAAAAAGATCCTCGGCAAATGGAGATAACCAGAGATAGGAAATTGGGGGAGAACTTTTGGTGTTCCCTGAATTTCAGAACCAAATATCTGAGAAAAATTATCTAAACGTTTGGTAATGGATTTGACAAAAACCAAACCTGTTAGTAACACTCTTGCTCCTTCATTTCAAACTCAGTTGCAGCTCAAGTCGAACAAAAAATGAAATGCAAGAACGGGAATACATTGTCAAAGAGTTCCCTAATGCAAATGTTGTAGAGTAGCCTTGATGTATGCTAAGGTTGTGTACAAGAACCTGACAATTTCATCACAGGCAGTTGGAGTTGTGAGCAGATACATTGCTGATCCCTGCCAAGGAGGCATTGGCAAAGCTTTGTGAAATGGGATTCTGCGGGTAACCTTCAAGAACACCGTGGAATGTTGGATTGTTTTTTTGAGCAGGAATAAGAATAGTGGTCAACCGCCATTAGTCGGGATACGTGATTCCTGATTTATGCCGTGAAATTTGATAAACGTCGATCAAGCTACTGGTTATGGGTTATGTGTTTACTCTTGCAAAAGCACCAATTAGTTGGAAGTCTACTTTACAGTCAACAGTGGCTTTGTCTACAACAGAGGCAGAGTATATGGCAGTTATAGAGGCTGTGAAGGAAGCAATTTGGCTTTAAGGATTGCTTGACGAATTGGGAATTAGGCAAAACAACATTGTTTTACATTGCGATAGCCAAAGTGCTATTCACTTGGCAAAGAACCAAGTTTATCATGCAAGGACGAAGCATATCGATGTTCGATTTCATTTTGTTAGAGAAATTCTGGAGGAAAGACAGGTTCAACTCTAGAAGATTCAGACTGTTGAGAATCCTGCTGATATGTTGACAAAAGTGGTGACAGCTGTCAAGTTCAAATACTGTTTGGACTTGATTAATATTGTTAAAAATTAAAGCTTGGCACGACCAAGCGCATTTCAACTTTGTGAGAGAAAGAGCAGAAGCTTGCATTGTGGATTCGCTAAGTGTGAGAGTATTATTGGTTCTAGGTGGCTTGCAAATCCCACATCGAAGAAAGGGAAGGGAATAGGGAGTTGTTTTTGGCTATAAAGAGCTTAGCTCCTGAAGTTTATTCATTCCCAAACTTCGTCTTCCAATTCTTAAGTGGGTTAGACAAGTTTCTCTCCCTCTTCTCAATTTGTTATCTTCTTTAGTGAAATATGAAATTTAGTGTGTCGAGGACGTAGGCAAAAATTGGGCGAACCTCGTTAAATTTTGGTATTCTCTTTTATTTAAATGCTTTTGTCTTTATTTTTTTAATAGCTATTGTTAGGGTAAAAAATATTTTGTGTTATTGTCTAATTATTACTTCTACGGTAAATTCTGTCTAGGCACAGTGTTTTAAGTGAGACCATTTGTGACTCTCCACTTACCTGGGAATTTACTTAGGTGTATTAGTAAGTACAGTAATTCACAAATTGCTTTTGGTTTGGAAAAAAGCCCAATTTCCACAACAATACGTTCAAGGAGGATGAAGGGATGATACAGGGTCGACAACTACAGGAAAAGGTTCCTGATTGCCTGTTGGGAAAGGTGGCCCTGTTGGCGTGGTAGGTAAAGATGAAGACAAGAAGGATTTGGAGTTACTGGTACTGGTCTGCGTCCTGAAGTCTTGACTCCGCCTACGCCACAAAACCATCTTTTCTCACCTTTTTCCCTTTTCCTTTTCCTGTGTATTTTCTTTTCTTCCAAGCGAAATTTTTCTATGTATATTATCATAATACCTTTCCTTGTACTAATAATTAGATAAGTAAATATATGCATAATAAGATTAAGTTTTCTAGTTTTGGTTCATATTTGTTTTTAAAATAAATTTAGATTATAGCGTTTGGTTGTGTTCAATTTTGGTTGTGCTTGGCAATAACGTTCTAACTAAACTTATCCAAATTAGAATTCTATCAAACATCTTCTGTTTACATGTATCTTTCTGGAAACTTTTATATTAATCAAAAAAATATGTTTATAATCAAGATATTAATGTCTTCATGTGACTTTCTCATGAAAGTACTTTCTACGTTTTTTCCATTTTCTTAGATGGGAAAAAGAGTAAGGTGGTATCTGTGTCACTGTGTGGATAAAAAAAATTGAAGCGGCCAAATCCATGGATCATAGGGAATTCATGAAAATCTTACCTTCCAAGATTAATAATAACGTCAATAGCAAATGCTTCAAATGTAACGTTTACGGTCGATTAAATATTGGGCTGTTGTTTTACTGTTTTTCCTATTTTAAATTTAAACTTTCTTTAAAGTACTGTTTGACCACCCAGGGTTAATTGATATCTATGTTCTTGTGATGCTCAATGTGGTTATATTATTATTACTTGGGGGAGCTAAAACAGGGAAAAAAACTTACCTAGATTTGGAGCATGTATTTTTTTTTATTTTATTTTTTTTGCATTGTGGAGGAGGTATTTTTTTATTTTTTAGCATTTGTGAAGGAGGATTGTATATGGAATTATTTTCAGTTGTAAGTGCATATATTAGGTTATGCTTATATTATTTTAAGATTTTTTTAGTATTGGAGGAAGAGATTCCAAATATGGATTTATTGTCAAATTGAGATGCATTCACTAGACTATTCTTTTTTTAAGATTTTCTTAGTATTGGAGAGAGAGATGTCGAATATGAAATTTATTGGTCAAATTGAGATGCATCACTAGACTAGAGAGACTATTCTTTTTTAAGATTTTTTTAGTATTGGAGGAGGAGAGAATTCGGAATATGAATTTATTGTCAAATTTGTAGATGGCATTTCACTAGACTATTCTTAGGTGTGCTAGACGACCATGCACTTGAAAATAAACAGGGATAAAACAAACAGGATAAAGTTAGGAAGGAAAATTTTTTTTTGAAATTTCTGTTAAATAGATAATAGATAAAATAGGAAAATTTTTAAAAGATATTGTATTTATTGATTTAATCATGGGAAATTAATTTAAAAAATTTTTGGAATTTTATTAGATTGCTCATTAAAATAGGATATGAATCTAATTAGACAAAGTATTTTCTTAAGATGGATCGTAAACAAATGATATTTTTCGAATGAAATCAACGAGTTAAAGATAGCATATATGAAGTTTGAAATGGAAATCAAACGAGTTAAAGATAGCATTTATATGAGTTTGTGTTAGTTAATAGGTGACTATATATAATACGAATTAAATATGTCATAATCATAGCAAAATATTACACAACCTGTGGAAGGGTAATACGTATCGGATTTTTTAACTCTGCACGCAATCTATTTTATTTTAATTTAAATTGGTTATATTTTTTGACCCCTTTATAATTCGTTTAGTTAAAAAGAATTATGGTATAATGTTATTGTATTAATTGGATTCATGTCTTATCTGAAACACGCAATCCCTTTTGGTTTTTTTTGCGATAAAAGGCATAAATTTGATAGACTTAAAGAAGAAACCATGCTTCCATACAAGCAATGGAACAAAGAGTGGAAACTTCCTTCATAAAAATAAGCTCCTCAACGTCACTAAAGAAGAGCTTCCGTGTGCCAATCGTGAGCAAACCTTTTTACAGTTCCTAGGAGAATGTTGACAAGTGAGAGAAATGAAATACTTAACAAATTAACTTCAAATTGAGTAATCAGGTGCCAAGCTCAGAAGAAGGAATACTTACTGCTTGTTTGATGAGTGGACAAATTCTAGAAAATCCAGTCGAGGATTCCACTTTGCTAAAGCTCATTTCAACTCCTTGTTCAAAGCAACAAAGCGGCCTCCAATTTTAGCCTTCCTTAGGAGAAAAAGGTGTGATGTGTGCTCCTTATACCTGCTGCCATAGCTTCTCACAGGAATTTCGAACCACTTATGCCAATACCTGCACAGCACCCTACTCTCACATCAAGCGTCAGAGTTAATTTTCACAAAATCCGAGAGGGGAGGAACCCAACGATGAGTAGGACTATTCCTCGCAGGAACCATGCATTAACCTGGAGCTTCCTAAAAATCAAACAACAACGCTTAAAGCTTGCTCGACGATTTGGTGGTGCGAAAGTACCGAATTGATGAAAAAATGGCTACTTACGGCCTCCATACATTACCCAGGACACTAGCAAAGTATTTCAATTCTGGGGAGGCTCAAAATTCATTTACCTTTTTCCATAAGCCAATCCTTAACCCATTACGAAGCTCCTTACATCTAAAAACGAAGCAGGCGACAATAACCAGACTCTCTAGTACCGAACATTCAACCAACACGAGCAGTTGTTTCAAGACCCTCATCACAAATAGGAACACCATGCCATCAAGCATAACACCTCGACTTCCTAGCTTATCATTAGTTGGGCAAATACCTTTGACATGTACATGACAAAGGTGCTTCACCCTTAGGAGGTATTTGTTACTCCATAATCGTTCCAAAAACCTTTGATTCCTGAACTGCAAGTAGAAGATTCTCCTTTTATCACAATCAAAAACTGCAAAGGCCAAATGTACACGACCACACCGAAAACAGACCATTTTTAATTACTTGGCAAGCAAGCCACATTTGTTAAAACGTCGTGATCCAAGAGGAATTTACAATAACTGTAACCTCCAGCAGGGGACTAAAAAGAGCATTTAAGAGATCAGTGTGCAATGTGAAAATGCTATCATAGTCAATCAACTTCAGTCGCCAGTAGCATTGCATCAAGAAGGAGAGAACCAGGACCTTAAGCTCGTACGGAAGGCAGCCAACACGATCCTTCCAAATTCGAAATTGCATACCCATTACCAACAACCCCAGCGTGAAACTTGATCAATATAAGCCACCGAGATTGCAAATACTGCGGCCATGCATTAACTGGGGCTGGTATCCAATACGGGCATCAAGGAAAAGAACTACGCGGATTAGTAACGCTTTCAATGTTCGAGTCAAGATAGAGTTAGAATCTTAACAAAGAAGCCACCCCTGTTTTTGTAGAGCATCGGCAAGATTAAAAGATGCAAATCTTCAAAAACAGTATCCCTTTTCGCTTGGATCGATACAGATCCTTCCACCGAGGCCAGTGAATTTTTCCTTTCGTCCCCCTTTTGACCGGACCAAAATCTTGCCATTTAAGCCGTCTATCTAATCAACAAATCGCCCTTGCTACCAAGGAAATAACTTCATGGTGTAAGTTGTATAGCCTGCGCCACTGCTTTTCAAGAGTACCTCTTTGCCAGCCTTGGAAAAGGGTTTTCTCCTTCCAGCCTTTCAGTTTTTTTCGCATCTCGTTGACAATGTTGCTAAAACACACCTTTTTCTTCCTCCGATCATTGCCCAGCAAACCGAGATATTTTAAGTGACCCTGAACATAGCTAACAACCCAACATCAGACATGAACATGCTCTTGAGTATGTTTGCTTCCACATTTAGGGTGAAAGGGGAATCTCCGACTTATCCATATTGATTTTTTTTAACCTGAAGCTTATTTATAATTGTTAAAGTTACAGCTACAGCTATTGATGCAAGTGTTGTTGACAATTTTTGAGGTATTTTGTTAAGTCATTAGATTTTGTTGTATTTTGTTTTGAAGTCAAGAGGTAAAGGTGAACTACCTGCTTTTAGGAGGTTTGGTGAATAACTTCCTGACTTATGAAAGGTTGGTTGAACAAACTTTAGACTAGCTTCTACTAAAATGTTTACATTATGCTGTATGGAATTAAAAAAAAAAAATAATGTTCTTCACACTCACAAAATCTGCCAGTTTTTTTCTTTTTTCTGCAGAAATTTCCTTTCTTCCTTAATTTTTCTGCTCTTCTAACCAACAAGTGGTATCAGAGCAACCTTTATCTCAAAGGGCTGTGTGTGTGTTTGCGTGAAAAATCATGAGAAAGGCCACCAAATAAACCAGATTTGTGAGGTTTTTCTGTTTATTTGCTTTTTCTGGCAAATCGGCTCTCCAGCAGCATTGTCTCTTTCCCACCTATTATAATGGGGAAAACTATATGTTTTGGTCTCGTGAAGATGGAGAGCTTATTTAAGGGGCTTGGATTATGGCAGTATGTGGAGGGAAAAAGAGTACCTCCACCTCTTAATCAAAATCCAACCCCTTCAGCAGATTAAGACAACATGAAGAAGAGGTTGCTAAGGCTCCAAAAGCTTCTGTCCGTATATCCCTGCAGCTGTTGCAATTCCTATTCTTCACCAGATTATGACATGTGAGACAGCACATGAAGCTTCGGGAGAAGTTATAAAAATTGAGTAATCATTGGATCTGAAAAACTAGACAGTGCAGATATTCAATTTAAGCGAAAAAGAATTTGAAATGTTGAAAATGAGGACATGAAAAGGTGAAAGATTACATTGATAAGAGTTATGAAAATGTTACCAAATTCGATTGTGGGAGAAGAGTTAGACAGAGAAGAGAATTGTGGAGAATAGTTATTGGTGACTCTGCCCTGAAAAATTTGAAGCCAAGATTTTCTTCTCTTGAAAGAAACTTGGGACATGTCACAATATCCTTAAATGTGCTTTCAAATGCCTACAAGCTGTGAACAAGAAAAGCCTATAGGAAGAAGAAACCTATTGGAAGGAAGGCTCTTGTTTGTGACTCATAAAAACAAAAATGCAAATAAGGAGGTATCAAAGAGGGCCCAGCGCCACAACCTGACAGAGAAAACCCAAAAAA